TTATCTTCTGTGTCTGTGTTAATTGGTTTCCCTTTTCTTTGTTGAAGAGGGTCTGTGCAATCCTTCTGCCTAGTCCGCCATCTTGCCCCGCCTCCTATTGCTGGAGTTTTAAGGATGAATTAAAAAAAATGACAGGAGTTGATACTGGGATGTAATGAAAACTTCTATCACAAAAATATCAGATATGCCATTTTAAGAAACTTAACTTCTCTCCAAAGGTTATGGGAAACCTCTAAGAATTTTATAAGCATAGAGATGGTGATCAGAGTATAAAGTGCAGATTAGATTGATGAATGCAAAATAAAACAGAAAATCATGCTTGTCTAGTATTAATAGCTACCATTTATTGCTTACTGTATCCCAGAAACCATGAGTTAGGCACTTTATATATTCTAGCTCATTTAATCTTTGCAACATCTCCTCCAGGCAGATACTTTTATCATCATCCTTTTATAGATAAAGAAGGAGAGCCTAAGGAACTTTCTCAAGGTCATGCAGTTAGAATCTGGTGGATTCAGGCTTCTATCCCAAGTAATCTAAAACCAGCTCATAGGCTCTTCCCCACTACTATGGTGCCTTCCAAAGAGAAGATAAGTAGGACAGAGAGAAATCAATAGAAGCATACCAGAGATCCTGACTGGTGCTTTAAGTTTTAAAGATGTCCAGTAATTATACAGCAGCTCTGATAACATAGTGTTTAAGGCATTTAACTGCTAACCAGAAGGCTAATGGTTCAAACCCACCAGCCACTCCTCAGAAGGAAGGTTGGGCAATCTACTTCCCCTAGTGATACCACCTCAGAAACCTAAGTAGGGGCACTATCAGTTGGGTCCCACTCCACGGCAGTGAGTTTGGTTTTGGTTTGAGAATTATATGACTCCACTTTGCCAGCTCAGAGTAGGTTCTCCAACCTAATCATCTTTGGTCAAAGCTGTGACCAACAATGATCTTGGTCTATGATTTCATCCTCTGGCTCTGCTCAGTGCTGTTCAGTTGAAAGAATCCACATGAGACCTCTCTAATATTTAGCAGTTTTCTGCCTTTAAACCCTTTATTTCCATTACCAGTGGAGGTCTTACCCACGCAAGTGGTAAGGTGGTTTGTTCCTTTGTTCTGGTTGTTAAATTTCTTCCAAGTGTCTTTATACCATGTTTTATAATGTTACCTTTGAATCCTTTTGTTTGGTTGTGCCACCATATGCATATCAACCCACTCCGAATTTATATTTGCCCCAGCAACTAGAAGAGTCAACTGGTCACGGACACCTGGGTTGGGTCTGTGGGAGACTCCAGGATCCCTTAATAATATTATCCTTGGTGAATATGTCTCTTTTAGTTGCAGGCTACTGAACTCAATCTGAGTTTTACAGTGGGAAGATAAATGTGTGTCTATGAAAGGGGCGAAGGTAGGAGCAAGTGGATTTCTTCAGGACTACTTTCATAATGCACCCTCAAGATTCCTCTTATTCTAACGCCTTAAGGACTAGCCAAGAATTTGCCACTTGAAGGATGCAACCTTCAGGGTTTCCATAATTTATTCAATACATCTTTTACAAAATTCAATTCCATTTCAATGCTTAACTGCAGTGCCAATATATTTCAGGTATCCATGACATCTTCTGTAATATAATCCTTCCTGTCTTTCTTCTTTCTTGTCCTATTTTATATGCATTTTGATCTTTTAAATTGCCTTAATGAAAAAAAAAAAAAAACTTTATTGTCATAAGCATAAACTCAAGTCAGCTCAAAGCTACACAAATCTACAGTGGCCGTGAAAGGGTGTAGCTGGAGATAAGCAAACTCACCCACAAATAACCACATGCCCCCTTCCCTTGATTTAGACCGCTTTCCTTATAGATAGGAGCTGCACTACTGGAGAAGTCGGTGGGTGGGCGTGCGCTCAGAATAATGCGGTAAAAGCCCTCCGTGGGTTCGTTGTTCTTAGCTCCAGGTTCTCAGCGTCTGCCGCAGGTGCCCACTGCACCCCCACCCCGGGGCTCGGTAGTTTCCCAGCCGCCCTCCCTGCCTCTCGGCGCCGCCGCAGTGCGCAGAGCAGTGTTGGTGCTCGCCGCCCCCTCTCCACCAGAGGGGCGCATTCGGTTGCTGGCGCAGTTTCCCAACGCCGTGCCCGCCCCTCAGTCCTCTCCTTCTAGCTCCCGCCCTTCGTCGGCTGCAGTCCCTGGCCCCGCCATGGGAAATATGCCTTCCGCGGTGAAGCACTGCCTCAGCTACCAACAACTTCTCCGAGAGCATCTCTGGATCGGGGATTCGGTGGCAGGGGCACTCGACCCCGCGCAGGTACCACCTTGCGGCCCAGGGTGTCCCCACCCTCTTGAACACAGCTACCAGCCAGCTCATCCCCTATCAACCTCCTGGTTCCCCCTCTCCGTGCATCTTCCCCCACACCCCAGGGACCATCCTGCTGCAGTTCTGTCTTGTTAGGCCTCACCTCTTAAAATTACCTTTCTCATCATCTCTCTTTTGTGAGCGTCTAGCTGGCCCTTCTAGGTCAGACCCAACAAAACCCCTACCTGTGGCCATATGCAGGTCGCCTATAGGAAATTATTCTATCATTTTTATTTCTTCCTTAGAAATGACGCATTATCCATAGGCATTCCTCCAAAGATAGTGCCCTTTTTCTGAGTTTTCTTGTAGTTCTGTGTAACAAAGACAATAAATTAGACATGAGGCAGAAAAATGAATGAAGCCAACATGTACCGTTAGGAAAACATAGTAGGATGAAGTTATCCAAAGCATGGTTAATTCACATCCCTAAAGGATTTATGCTTCAACAAACTGCTTGAATAGATTGTAAATACAAGAATTTCAGACTAAAATTTAATACCACATGATTCCTGAAATTTCATGTTAAAACAATAGGCAACTTAATGTTTCAGCATCCTTAACATAATGCACTCTCAACCAAAAGGAACAGGTAAATGAGGGAAAAGAGTATATGTAAAGAAATTTGTTTCCTTTTAAAAAGGTAAAAAAAATCATAAAATAATAAATAACAATGATAATTGTTACATTAAAGGTTAAAACATGAAAAATTAGAGGAGCCTGATTATTGTTATTTTTTAAATTATGGGGGGTGTATGTAAAATTATTTACTCCTGGTTAATTTATAAACAAATCACTAGCTATTATTACTATGGTATTTCAGTGGGCAACCACAATTTCATGATGGCTGTGGTTTTAAATCCACTGTTTCAATATTAGCTACTTATTTTCCTATAGTTTTACATTTTGTGTATTCTCAGTTAAGTATATCAGCATATGAAATTGTAACTTTAGCTTTACAAATTGGAATTTAGCATTTGTAGATTTTTAAAAAGATATTTTGTCCTTCATTACTTAGAAGGTGGCCATGGTCATCTTTACTCAAGGGCAGGCAAATGAAAAGGTTAGAAAGGGAAGTTATCCTTTATCGTCTCACATGTTCATTCGCCTATTTAATTTCCCTACATTCACTTTTGATATTTGTGTTATAACTTTTCTCTTAAATTTCCTAACTTTTGTATCCACTCTGTGTTGCATAATCAGGAATCCCTAACTTTTATTCCCTAAGTCTGAGACTTTTGTTGCTAGGTGAATATTTCATTTCTCTCTAAAGCCCTTTATTCTGATTTACAACTTTTGTGTTCTTAGGAACAATCATAGAGGATAGGCTACTTGGGAGGATGTCTACTTTGCCCTGTTGAGGTGTGAAGGTGCAAACTAAAATGACTAGGATTATTGATGAAAGAATATATGGTATAGAATTTTGGGACATCTATCAGCCTAATGAAGACCTTTTGTTGCTTCTAGGAGGAAAATACTTTTCTAAATACTCAAAATTGAATGTAGGGAAATTAAATAGACAAATGAATGTGTGAAATGATAAAGGATAACTTCCCTTTCTAACCTTGTCATCAGCCTGCCTTTGGGTAAAGATGACCATGACCATCTTCTAAGTAATGAAGAGCAAAGTATCTTTTTAAAAATCTACAAATGCTGAATTCCAACATGTAAAGGTAAGGGTGCAATTTCGTATGCTGATATACTTAACTACTTAAATGAGAATACATAGGATGTATAACTATAGGAAAATACTTTTCTAAATACTCCCTTTTTTATTGCCAACTGCTTTGCTGGGAAACTCCCATTTACTCTTCAACAGATTCAAACCACTTCTTTTGCCCATCTTTTCTCACCCTCCGGAGTCAATGCCCACTTCTCTGTGCTCTCATGGTGTTCTATGCATAATTCTGTTTTAACCTGTTCTACTGAATTATAATATGTTATGTTTCATCATGTTTGAACTCTGCAATGACACCTGCCACTTGACAGGTTAAAAGTATCTTCTTTGACTTCACTTCTAACAAAACTATACAGCTTTAACCTGTACCTCTCTGGCTGTTAAATCAGGTTCCTCGTGGCTCTTGATACTCCTCCTATGCCTTCTTATCCACACTCTCGGTTTCAGTTATGATTTGTATATCAATGTCCTCCAGATTTATAGTTCCATCTCTCTCCTAAGCTCTATTCCTGATATCCAGCTGTTTACTTGACATAAACTCAACATTTCCAAAATTGAATTCATATTCTCCATCCTGCAACCCTGGAACTTCTCCAGTATTTCCTACTATAGGGAATACCATCCCCATTCATTCAGTTCTACAGGTCACAAACCAAGTACTTCTTCCTTTAATTTTTCCCCATGCCCCAAATATCACTAGGAGATCTGGTAGCACAATGCCTAAGGCACTTGACTGCTAACCAGAGGCTGGTGGTTCAAACCCACCAGCCACTCCTCGGAAGGAAGGTTGGGCAATCCTACTTCTGTAGTGATACTGCCTTGGAAACCCAAAGAGGGGTCGCTATGAGTCAGGGCTGACTTGATGGCACGTAACAACAACAACAACCAAATATCACTGAGTTCTGCAATTTTTACCTCTTGAATTTCTCTTAAATTCATCTATTTTTCCAACTTCACTGCTGAAATGACATTATCTTTCCTATGGACTCCTGTTTGGACTGGTGCACTAGTCTCCTTACTTGTCTCCATGCCTGTGTATGTTCTGGTCCCTCTTCAATCCACTGCCTTAATTTAAAAATATCAGGAGATGTTTTCTGTTTTGAGTGGAAGCATACTATCCTCCTGTTTCTCACCCTTCTATGAATTCCATTGCTCTTGAGAATGAACACCAAAACTTACATGTTCTCTGAAGCACCAAAGCTCATTACATCTCTACCACGTCATCTCAAACTATTTTCTCTTGTTCTCACTATTGCAGCCACAATGGATTTGTTCGAATTCTCAAATAAATCATATTCTGTGGAAAGAAGGCTGTTGCTTATTTTCCCCTCTGCTAGGAAGACACCTTACAATTACTTTGCTCCTGTGCGTCCTTCAATTCAAGTATTACTCTCTAATGAAAATTTCCCTAGATTATTGAGGCAGAGAGGCCCTGGTAATACTTTCAATTAGACATTTTTTATACACATTAAAAACAAACAAACAAACAAACAAAAAAAAGCCCACTGCCACATAATGAATTCCAACTAGTGACCCTATGGAATAGAGCAGAATGTCCCCCCTAGAGACTGTAAGTCTTTATGGGAGCAGACTCATCTTTCTTCTGTAGAGCTGCTGGTGGGTTTAAACTGCCAAAGTTTTGGTTAGTAGCCCAGTGCTTTAACCACAGTGCCACTGGAGCTCCCTATTATTATATATAATGTGAATTATATATTTTTGTGATTATTTGATGTTGAATCTATTACTAGAGTCTAAGCACCATAAGAGCAAGAAAACAATTCACCATAGGTTTCTCAGACTCTAAGAGAATGCCTGGATCGTTTTGGTGTCCAGTACATACTTGTTGAATGAATAAATGCTTATCTTTCTCGGCCACAAGCATTCCATGGCTGTTGACCATGGCATCATTCTTAGAATTCTTCAGGGCCCCAAACAATCTTTGGCACATTGTAGGACCATAATAAATATTTGTTCAAAGAATAATATGTGGTGATGAGATTGCAGACATGGTGGCAGTACTTTGGTCTTAGTGCTAAAAGACAGACAAGTGTTATTACTTTTTGTGGCTCATCTCTTCATCTCATGAAATCTAGTCATACTTTGATGGGAGAAGAGTTGAAAAAGGATTCTGAAGATGTGAAGAGACAGCACACAGGTTAATTAATTCTCCAGAGTTGAATCTGGAAGGCAGCAATGTGAGCTAGACTATGATTGGAATAGGTACCCTGGTGGTGTAAGGCCTAAGGCATTTGACTGCTAACCAGGAGGCTGGCAGTTCAAACCCACCAGCCATTCCTTGGAAGTGAGATTGGGCAATCTACTTCCATAGCGATACTACCTCAGAAACCCAAGGAAGGGTCCATATGAGTCAGATCCAAATAAACGGCAGTGAGGTTTTTTTTTTTTTTTTTTAGTTGGGACAGATACAATGTGCTATGTTTTGAAAGAGTCCTGTGGTAGGCAATAGAAAATTAGAAAACTAGACCTTGTTCTGCTGCCAACTTACTCTGTTAATTTGTGTAGGCAATAACCTCTCACCCACTGCTACTGTCAGAGTCGATTCTGACTTATAGTGACCCCCATTGGGTTTCTAAGTCTGTAAATCTTTACGGAAGTAGATTATCTCATCTTCCTCCTGTGAAGCAACTGGTGGGTTTGAACCACCAGACTTCTGGTTAGCCGCCAAATGCCTTACCCACTCCGCCACCAGAGCTCCTTGGTAATAACTTCAGTAGACCTCAAATTTTTAGTTTCTACATTAGAAATAATGATATTTTCCTGATAAATTATCAGGATGAAATTGAATAGTAGTGTATGTGTGTGTGTGTGTGTGTGTATGCATGCATGTGCATATGTACACATTTGAAGTTTTGCAATTTATTACCAGATATCAGATGGGCCAATGTGAATGGAAGGTTTACTCTAATACAGTTCCACTAATTAAATTCTTTGGACCTCTACATATTTCCTAATGGCATTGGTTTTGCAAAAACAAAATCCTTAATTAATCAAAAGATTAAAACTGATCATTCTGTGGCTCAAGGTATATCCTTTGATCTGTTTTTGTTTTCTATATTCAGTTCTCTTAAAATACGTATGGTGAGCCTCGCTTAATTGGTATATGTCAAAGTTTTGATTTAATTGTGGAGTTCCCAGTAAAGCAACTCCTCTCTGATTTCCAAATGCTGCTTAGGTATTAGTGGAATCTCTTCATGCATTAATATCCTGTTTCAATTATAAAATTTCCCAGGATCTAAATTCTAATGCAAACAACATT